ACGGTGATCACGCATGGTCTTCCAAGGCCACAGAATCTCGAGTATGTCTTAAATTATTTGCCTAAATGGATTTTTTGAGTTTTGCAATGAATTCATCTCGAGCATCTCTTTAAAAGAGAAATTCCGATTGAAACGAAAAGAATTGAGGGGGTTATGTCCCTCTTGATCTGTTGATGGGGATCATTTAGTTGTTCTTGAAAGTTTTACGCATCTTGACGGAGTCGTTCTCATTTCGCTGTTCTTCAAAATATTTCCAATTAGCAGCAGCTAGATGAAGCATATTAATTCATCACAACCTTCCCTTCTTATCACTTTAATCAGTGATAACAATTATCAGTACCTTACTGATTATTACTGCTCTTGTCTTGAGCAGTTGACAGTTAAACTTTTTCTCAGACTCGCACGTAATCTCGAGAAGATCGTCCGATCATACGGAGCCACTCCAGCAACAATAGGGTTATTTGATGGCAAAGTGCATATTGGTTTAGATGATAACCAACTGGAACGTATCGCAAATGATTTTGATTCAATCAAAGTTTCACGACGGGATATTCCATATTGCCTTATTAATGTCAGTCGTTGTTGTTGTCATTATGATCAGTTCAACTCATAACAATGATTCCAGTGTTCATCTTCGACATATTACATATCAGTTTCATAACGCCTGCTAATTTCTCTGAACTAACCAGGAACCCAATGGTATGAATCAGCGTGATTTCAGAAATTCGTCGGCGGAACCACAGTAGCTGCAACGATGTATTTAGCAGATGCGGTCGGCATACGAGTATTTGCAACTGGTGGTTTAGGGGGAGTACACAGGGGAGTGATGGAATGTTCGTTTGTTTCGGATCAATTTTTTATATTGATCAACCCATTGATCACACTCAACATTCATTCACCCCATATTTATTTCCTAATACATTATCTAAGACTCTATTGGAATAATTTTGAAAGTCATAGACACTGATTTTCAGCTGTAAATTAAGGAAAACATCATTCAGAATGCAATGTACATTTAAATTTCAAAGTCAAAAAAGTTCCTCCAGTCATAAAGAATCACGAAACGGATCCTTAACGAATGAACCGAAAAAAGTGGTTCTGTAACTTGAAATGATCAATCATGTGAATCCGAAAGCGATTAATCAAATGCTATGAACGTTTCACTTTCAGCATTCGACATCAGCGCTGATTTATTGGAATTAGCGACAACACCAGTTGCTGTCGTGTGTGCGGGCGTTAAATCAATTCTAGATGTTCCAAAAACTCTTGAGTATTTGGTAATCATTTGCACAATCGTCATTTTCTTATTATTCTCCGTTCAGTGATCATTAATTGCCAATCACATTTGTTGTTTTATGTTCAATAAGTGATTTCATTTTTGATTTCTATGCATCATCTCCTCACTGCTCACAAAACTCCATATGTGAATCGTCGAATTTTTCACGTGCAAAAGCAAAGCAAAGCGTTTCAGCTGAACTTTTCCTTCAGCTTCATTAATTTCTTCTAAAGGAATGCAGAGTCAGACGTCATTAATTCTGTTGCTGTTTTAAAGGAATCGAACAGTGTCGAGGTAATCGTCTATGGAAAAACGATCAATTTTCCGGGATTCTTCACGGCTGAAACTATTTGGAAGGCACACACATATACACAATCGCTCGAAGAAATTGCTGACATTATAAGTGCGTTTTCGAGATTATTTGACAATAAGTTTAGGCAATAGTTTTCTTTGCATTCTATCGCTTTGAAAACAACATCTCTCAAACAAACTTTCGTTCTTTCTTGAATTCCTCACATAAGTAGGATTCATTGTTGCATGCTTACAGACTGTAGCCGTGATATGGGATTGCCAAGTGCTACAGTAATTGCGTGCCCAATCCCAGCTGAGCATGAAGCTGAAGGAAAACTGATAAATGAAGCTATTGAAGCTGCACTTATGGAGAGCAGGTAATCTATGCTCGTAAATTAGAAACTTTTCCATCTTTGTTACAGCTTCTTAGGATATATAGTTCTTTGCAGACTGATGAAATCAGTGTTTTTTGTAGCATGCCCACTAAGAAATACCCTTCCTTATAACGTTTTAAATTCGTTTAAATTAATCTACATTCGCGCAAGTGTGTGAAATCAGTTGAAACGTCAATTGTAGCTTTCATCGAAATAATTCGTTTCAGAGAAGTTGGAGTGGACTCGAAAAATGTCACACCATTTCTGATGAAACGAGTCAACGAACTCACTGGTGGAGCGTCCGCTAAAACAAGTACGTTTTTAATGAGCTTTTTGAATATTCGCTGATAAAAAATCCCAGATCGTCAACAAATTTCTACTTCTGTGCCAGCATTCATTTCAAAGGAAACAGCAAAGCAAAAGCAAAAAGAACCATATTTGTTGATGATTGTGAATAAAAGTGTCACTGATTCTTCAAAATCGCATGTCACATTCTAATTTACTCCATCAATAGCGCTAACTTCATGTGAACAATAATATAGTGTTCATTCGAAAATGCAACTGGATATATTAATGATATTGGTAAGCCACTCGGTTTCGGCTAAAACATTGCCGTTCGCGGAGGAAAGTTTTACTGAAAACCGAGTGGTGTACCACCAATATCATTAATGTTGTGAGCCTGAGCCAGGCTATGATCGGGCTTGTATCTACTATCCAATTATCTGTTATTATTGAATTGGATATAATTTCGATCCACTTTCAGACATAGCATTACTCGAGAACAACGCTCATATCGCATCAAAACTGGCAAATGTGCTCGCTAAACGAACCAAACTGTTGCAAACGAAGCACAAACAAAGCACCTCAGCAGAGTCCGATAAGAAGAAACCTTCAGTTGTATGATACTTCCTTCAGCTTTCTTCATTTTCTATTTGTCGGTTATCACTCAAGAACAATTATCACTGCGAATACATCTACAATTATTCTCATGATTTTCCTGAAAGCAATTGAAAATTATCTGGTTTTAGGGAGATTCATCCTGAACATCAAAATAGTCGAGTGATTTGCGATAATTCCATTCTGCCATTATGATAGATGGAGTAGAAAAATTTCTTTTGTGTAATAGAGCAGCGATAATATCTCAGAACAACAGCTGAAATGTTTTCCGTTTGTTTATAAACTAAGCATCACCAAAATTTAAGAGTTAATGTTGTAGCATTTTAACTTGACATAATAATCTCTGATGATTTGTACGATATACTGTGATCAAATTCTTTATTATTTGTACATGGTGATGTTGCTAAAGGTGTTTGTCGTCCGTGTTCGATCTTCTTATAATATCGATAAATTTTGCGTTTTCGATTCTGATCAGTCCGATGAAGACATTGTACAAGCATAAGTTAATTAAGCACAAAACAACATGAGTGAATAAATGAATAAATCTTAAGAGTACCACTAGATTTCAGGTTGTTATCGGTGCATCAATACTCGATTTCGAGGCAATAACAAATGTTGACGTGAGGGTGCGTACTTTAGCAATTATCACTAACACGAATCAATCACTAATCTGCTAATCACTTAAAAGCAGAGGTCGACCAAGACTCGACCAACTCAAAAATGTAACTTAGAAATGTTCGTTGTTCTCAGATACTAGGAGAGGGCCTCTTAAGTCAACGGATATCACTCAAAAATTGTAGAACAGAGCTTTTAACGCGAATGATAGAAGATTTTGATGGATTGGTTGGGATTTTGCAGAAAAAACTGATAGAACGTGAGTGATTGACAGGATATGACTGGATGAATTCCTCAAAAAATTGCTAACTGAAGGAAATCAACTCACGAATCATAGATTGCTGGCCTCTGCTTTCAAGTCGAGGCACGATTTTTGCTCACGATATAACCGTATTAACATACAATTCACAAATACAGTCTTGCACTGATTAACATTCATTTACACATTCTGTTTCAATTAACAGTAACCAAATGATTGTTTCAACCAATGCTTCATAAGTGACGAGTCACAACTCTGATTCCGGTCCTTTGATCAACAGTCGAAGATTTTTTTCAAATTTCAAGGCTCACATAAAAATGACAGAATGAATCTGAAATGCATCTGAATTGAGGTTAAATTAGGCACCAAATACACGTCGAGGTTTCATCAGCGATGTAGTACTCGTGATTGTGTCCATACTGTATTGTAGCGCTGAGTTCAGATCACCGCCTGAGCTATCTTCATCCGTTGGATCCACAGCGGCCCAATGCCTTTAAAGACAACTTCATAAATTGAAATACACTCAAAGTTATCACTTCAAACAATTTGCATGTCTTCTTGAGAGCCAAAAAAACTTTTTCGGCTGAATGGACTGTTAAGAAATGGACTTTCTGTGGTTGCATTTTGCTGCGATGTTCAAAAAATTATCACATCTTTTTGATCGCTTTTTGACCACTGAATCCTTCACGCTTGTGTTACTTATCAATTTTCAAGTTGTAAAAATCAAAGCGGGCAATTGCCAGAAATTTTTCCCCCAAGAAAACTATACCTGTACAATTGTCGATTACCAACGTAGACAATTTCGCCGAATAACTCTTGAATATCTTGCCTGAAGATTGCACTTTTCAATATGTTTTGCGTTAAGCATTCCCCATAATTAATTAATTTTTTTGCAAAAGAAATTTCGAATTTGATCAAATTTCGAATGGAATAATATATAATCATCACATTCGAATGAAGCTCACATTAATTGTTAGATGAAGGAACTGGTAAATAGAGGCAATATTCGGTAGATATAAACTTTTGCGAAAAACCTGAGGACAAGTACGACGATCACTTTCAAAGGAAATAGGACGAAGCATGCGATAATCGCCAGCAAATCGGTCTGACGATGAAACCATCTCAGCAATGGATTAATGCACGTATACATTTCTTGTCTTAAACACAGCGTTGCAAATTCCCTCATATCTATCGCATTTACCGAATCACTTTCTACAATTATGCGTTCAATCCATAGTTTCACAGAGAAACTTCAGAAAATACTTCTGAAGTGAAACTTCCAAAATAGTCAGGCGCAAATATAACCGAACTGAAGTGAATGAATCCAAAAAACGTAGTATGCAATTATTCATATGTTAATATGAATAGTATTGTATACGAGAGCTATATCATATGAGATTGTATCATATGTGTCATATAAGATCGTAGGGAATTATTATGTCAGGAAATTATTGAATCGTAGGAAATCGTGAAATTAATGTATCATATAAGATCTCCCAGTAATATGAGATCGTAGGGAAGCAAGAGAATCTAACCTGTATAGTTACAGAAATGAAGAATACTATTAGGAGCACAACATTCCATTTCAAGTTGTAACCTAGTCCACTCAGCACATATATCTTCTGCTGGATTATTGCTCATCATATCTTAATGATATTTATGGAATCAACATCCATTATAACTAATGCTAAATCGTTAATGGTAAACATTCTTCTCACTATCAGATAACTTTTTTCATTGAAATTCTGAGAGATTTTAACATTCATGGAGACACTTTCATATCGGAATGAATGTAATTCAAATGAATTTGAACGAATTCCTTCCATCGAGGTGATTTGAATGAACATAAAATGTTTTTTGAAGGATGGGAAAAGGGGCAAAATTGTCTAAAATTATTGAATTTAAATTAGGAGAATGGCGTGTGACCAATTGTACACTCCATTCGTTTTGATAATTATAGATCAGTTGTAGTTTCAGTACGATTCAATAGAAGACGACTCACTATCCGAATATTCATAGTTTCAAAACGTATTAACCATTGATTTCGGTTTGAGTTACTTGAGTGATGAAGTTCGAACAATTTCGATGCATTTCACGAAATTGCATCGCCCAGCAAATCGCTTTCACTGGATCAAGCGCCAATAACGGTATCATAAACAGCCAATATACTCGAAGCATTCGTCGACTGAACCAAAACGCACCCAAAATTCCACCAAGGCAAACAAAAAACTGAAACTAATTTGTATGAAATGCAAATGAAATGCGCCATTTGATTTCATAAAATTATCTGGTAAACGGTACGTTAGCGAGAGGTGATTGATTGCTATGTGAAAACCAAGAGCTTGGACGACAAAAAAAAACAATATAACTTGTGAGGATTTTTTCCAGATATTACATCAGAAAGATATCAGTAGTGATGCGAATACTACTGATGATAGTATGAAACAGTCTTGGAAATGCTTAAAAAACGATGCTGCTCATAAGGCACGCAGAATTTTTCCAGTTGCTGCTACTGCTCACCGCTCATGACTTTGCTCTAAGCTCGCCAGCATCTTGTATTCATGAACGCGAGCCGTTTACTGATTTAGCTGCTTTACGTGTAACACTTCTACCCATTCATATGAATATTGTGTGAAAATATCGTTAAGAATAACATTGGGGAGAAGAAGAAATCAAACAATTGAGGGACTAATTAATGACAGATTTACTCAAAAAGTTTACCTGAATGCAGATAGATGCATAAGTGAGTATCACCAGCCAATTCGACCAACCGAACGGAAAGTATTTCATCCATGGATGTGAGAATGTTATTTTGGAACATAGAATGAAAACGATCTGCAATTATTTGATTTCATGTTACGATCACTCTAGATCCTAGCTTTGTCCTGTTTGCGGGTAAGTATTTTGAGGCGAACTGATAAGTAATTGGAATAGAATGAGTACAGAGTGCTTGAATCGTATTGAACTGCATCAAGTATGAGCAAAAAGCAAACCAAAAAATGAATTCTCTAACTAAAAGTTGGCGTGAAGTATTTATGTGGATAAGGAAGTAATGACTGCCAACGGAGTGAAGATTTTTTTCATTTTCAGAAGTCACGCATTAACTAGTTGATCACCTGAATGAGTATGATAAGTCCGTTAATTGAGTAGATCCACAAGCGATAATATGGAGGCAGCTGCATGTTGACAGCGTCGCGATAAAAGTTTTCGTATCTCGCACAAATGAGGTTTCAGATTGTACTTAATGATGGAAATGTATTTCTGGAACTGCTATATTAATTTATAACATGTACAAGAGGAAATAAGCACCTTTCATGTAACAAATGCCAACCAAGCATACCACTTCTCATTTCCATGTTGAACAAATTAACTGAGCATAAAATCGAGTCAGTTCAATTTTCCATTTATAAACCAAATTTTACTCGTCGGCTTGAGAGCGATGGATTGAAATATTCTTCGGTTCTTTTAATAGCTAAACATTTCGGAATTTTTCGACCGACATTCCATACACAGCTTTCAAGGACTTTTCATAAAAATAAGAAAATGCCCTATATCATTGTTGGACAAAAATTCAAACAGTGATTGATTAGCAGGTAGGAGAAGCTATGTGCTAAATGGGATGTGCTAACGCAGAAATAGCGAAGAGAATGAAAATCGTACGATCTAGGGGAGCGATTTTTTTTGCGTTCAATATGCACAATATTTACATGCCGTACAATATCGATGCATATTGGTATTGTAGCAAAACCATTGAAAAACAATGCACAGATGAATGATCAACTTTTTATGTGTAGCTATTGGTTGGTACAGAATAAAGAAAGGTGATTCGCTATGCTATCTGATGTAAGCATCTTCACATTTACACAACAACAATGAATATCATTCGAAACACAGAATATCTTTTTGTACCTATACTATGATCCAAAACAGTTATTCAATGTTTTTTAAAATTTCTTCTGTAAAAGATAATTTGGTATCAGATGAATGAACTATTTTAGTAAAACGAATCGTAGTATGTTTGAATTGGTTTCACAACTTTTTATTGATCCCAGAATAAAGTTGATCAGGATTTGATGGCATCTGATGAGGATTAATCCATTTTTGATCGGTGATTCCCGATCATTCGAGAGTAGACTAAGGAAAAGGTAGTTGAGCAACGATAGGGCTTCAAAATTCCAAAAAGACATCGAATTCGAAAAGGCTTGCTTCAACGATTCCTCTCATCAACAGCACAGAATCAGTTTCAAAACA